CAAAATATATTTTATGTCATTAAACAACTTGTCAGGTTCTTCTCTTGAGAGCACGTTTCCCAGGACCACCACACACACCCCCACCAGTCCGCTCGCTCTTGCGCTCTTTGCAGCTTCTCTGCTGTTGCTCCACTGAAGACCAAGTCCAGGTCCAGCTAAACATTGAGCAGGAGCTGAACGCTGCAGGATCATGCTTCAAGAAGCTGTGCACTGCAAAACGTGCTCACTGTAGCCATTAATCCCGACTTCCTCATTTTGATAAAAAAAAAATAAGCACAAATTGTTTTATTCATTATTGTTTTGTAGGTCAAAGTGTTTTATGTAATGTTGTTGAACAATTTGAATTTATTATTATTTATTGATTATATTTAATAGTTAGACAGTGAATGGTTGTTTGTCTCGTTTGTCCCTATGTGTCCCTGTGATGGACTTGCGATCCGTCCAGGGTGTACCCCGCCCCTCGCACAGTGATTGACGGACCGGCAACCCCCGTAACCCAAAATGGAATAAACGGGTAAAGATAATGGATGGATGGATTATATGTAATTTTATTTTTCAGTATCAAATGGTCAAAAATGTTTAGTTTAAATAAGGATTTAAGTTGTTTTTTTTTATTTCAGGCAAATTGTTGCACTATAAGTCTTTTTTGTTACAGACTTCTGTATAAAACAATGTTAATAAAGTTATTATTTGTTGTAAGTTGATCTATATTTATTTATTTATTTTCTTTAATGTTAATAAGGACACAATGTTATGCAGAGGTGTACTTATAACTATCTTATAGACAAATGACAGTTTTACTGTACAGGTGCGGCAGAGAGTTGGGGGGCACAAAATGTTTACTTCTTCCTGGGGGGGGTGAACAGAAAATAATTGAGAAGCACTGCTTTAAAGGTCGATTCAGTCTGAGCGTGATCGCTTCTCATCACAAGCCAACCTGGTGAAGACGCCTGCAGCCAGACCCATCGTGGTGTCATTGGCTCTTTGCAGCACCTCCTCTTCTGTTTCAAACGACAACACGGACATGACTGGACCAAAGATCTCCTCCTTCACACAGGTCATCTCATCTCTGCAGTCACCTGAGGCGGCAAAGATAAAAAAACGAAACTGAACAGTTCTGAACTTACCATGTTCTTGATATTTCTTTTAGTAGCACTGCAGTCAAATTGAAATAGAAATAAAACACCTGGAAGGCCTAAACGAACAGTAAACTGTCTCTATGAACTTCGTAAGAGCACATATGATGTTTACCAAGTACACATGGAGTCATGTAGTATCCACCCCTGAGTTTGGGATCTGTTGGGACAAATGGTTCTCCTCCACAGCACACTGTGGCCCCCTACAAAGGGACCAGTTACAGCACAGCGTAAAACACCAGACTCTACACACCGTTTGAACAGAGAAAATTAAATGCACCTCTTTCTTTGCTTGATCAACAAAGAAGAGCACTTTGTCCAGGTGTGGTCGGCTGACCAGTGCTCCCATCCTGGTGCTCTCTAATAGAGGGTCTCCAATTGTAATCGCTCGGGTTCTCCTTACCACCTCCTCCACAAACTCGGGGACGATATCCTTCTGAACAAACACCCTTGTACCGTTGCTGCAGACCTGTTAGACAAACGTGCAAAAACAAGTAAAATCTACAATAGACGAGCTTAAAAGTTGCAGCACGCTTTTAAACTTTAAATGTGCCAACATTGTTTATACATGAAAGAAGGAATGGAACCAGATATAAAAATGCAGGTTTGTATTTAAAGCAGACCTGTCCCTGGGAGAGGAAGTTGGCCATTAGAGCTCCCCTCACGGCATTTTCCAGGTCACTGTCCTCAAAGACGATCAAAGGAGACTTCCCTCCGAGCTCCAGCGTCACCGATTTGACCCCCTTTGATGCCATCTCCATGATCTGAAGGTCATGTGGAAACATAGTCATCCATGTTGCTTTAATTGTGAGCAGGGTGTAGAGTAGCGCAGACCTTCTGTCCTGTGGACACACTTCCAGTGAAAGACACTTTTGCTACATCAGTGTGGTGACACAGTAAGCTGCCAGTCTCCTGGCCCCCCTGCACCACATTGAAGAGCCCATCAGGTGCTCCGGCCTGAGCATAGATCTCTGCTAGTAAGACTGCTGTCAGCGGTGTCACAGGCGATGGCTTGAACACCATCGAGTTACCTGGAGGGCATCACAGAAAACAGAAAGAATGCTTATTCCACCTAATTTACCCTGTTTGTTATTAAAGGCAAGATTTGCACCATTGAGTGTTTAGTGTTTCTTAGTTTATATCTTAGATCCTTATTTACTGTTTCTTTTACACTTTATATTTTTGTTTTGTTGGATGCAACTGGGACCCTGTGTACACAATTTTGTTCCACCTCATGTACCACACGTGGTGCGAACTTGAACTATATATGTTTTTAGTTTAAACTGTATTAGAGAGATTAGGTTCAGTGCATGTCAAACACCAAGCATGAAGTCAAGTCTGTAGACCTCTGAGACAGGGCTGTGTTGAGGAACACATCTGGGGAAGGATACAGAAAAATGTTCTGCTGCTTTGAAGGTTCCAGTGAGCCCAGTGGCCTCCATCATTCATAGATGGAAGAAGTTTGGAACCACCAGGCCGTCTAAACTGAGCGATCACGGGAGGAGGGCCTTAGTCAGGGAGTTGATGATGAACCCGATGGTCACTCTGTCAGAGCTCCAGTGTTCCTCTTGTGGAGAGAGAACATTCCAGAAGGACAACCATCTCTGCAGCAATCCACCAATCAGGCTGTAGGGTAGAGTGGCCAGATGAAAACCACTCCTTCATAAAAGGACCATGGCCGCTTGTCTGGAGTTTGACAAAAGGACCTGAAGGACTCTCAGACCATGAGAAGCAAAACTCTCGGGTCTGACGAGACACAGATTGAACTCTTTGGTGTGAATGCCAGGCGTCATGTTTGGAGGAAACCAGCTCATCACCAGACCTACAGTGAAGCATGGTGGTGGCAGCATCATGATATGGAGATGTTTTCAGCAGCAGGAACTGTCAGGATAGAGGGAAAGATGAACGCAGCGATGTACAGAGACATCCTGGATGAAAACCTGCTCCAGAGAGTTCTGGACCTCAGACTGGGGCGACGGTTCATTTTTCACCAGGACAACGACCCAAAGCACATGGCCAAGACCTCAGAGGAGGAGCTTCAGGACCACTCTGTGAAGGTCCTGGAGGGGCCAAGCCAGAGTCCAGATTTGAATCAAGATTGAACATCTCTGGAGATATCTAAAAATGGCTGCACAGACGTCTTCCGTCCAACCTGATGGAGCTTGAGAACTACTGCAAAGAGGAATGGGACAATGTGCTGAGCTTGAAGCATCATCTTCAAAAAGACTTGAGGCTGTAATCGCTGCCAAACGTGGATCAACAAAGTATTAAGCAAAGGCTGAGAATACTTACATAAATGTGATTTCTTAGTTTTCTATTTTTAGTAAATTTGCAAAAATCTCAAAAACAATTTCCCACGTGGTCATCATGGGGTACTGTGTGTAGAATTCTGAGGAAAGAGATTAATTTAATACAGTTTGAAATAAGTCCGTAACACAAAATGTGGAGAAAATGAAGAGCTGTGAATATTTTCCAGATGCACTGTATAGCTGAGTGTGTAAACTTTGTAAACTTTCTACCAAGTGTAAAAGCAACTCTTTGATTTAGCCAAAAGTTGGACAAAACTACGAAACAGACACATAATTCCATTAGCACACAGAAACAGCAACATATTGGTTTCCCTGTGCTCTTTGAATATCATTAGAAGAATGTGCCTAGTCAATTTGTTCTTTGTCTACAAACATAAAAACTGAACTATGGTCATTATGAAGACAAGCAGATCCAACTTTTGTCTGAGACGTAGAAAAATCTTCCTACCACAAGCCAGAGCAGGCGCTGACTTCCAGGCAGCTATCTGAAAGGGATAATTCCAAGCACCGATGCCCACACACACCCCCAAAGGCTCCCTGCGGGTGTAGGCGAAGGACCCCCCAGGCAGCTGAATATGCTGACCTGGACAAAAAAATAAGGAAAATTAAAAAAACATTATATGATACATTAATTGTTAATCATAGGACAAAACTCCTCAATAAATCTGTCATAAAAAGTGAATCTGAGTTTCTAAATCTAAATGGCTGTTGCTTCAGGATGGTTTGTTTCAGTTGCCTCTTGACCAACAAATAGAAAATATTTCTGCATAATTTTTAAAAACGCATTTACCCAATTTGATTTTTCTTCTAGTCAACATTAGAGTTGATTATTAAAAATAATCATTCCAACTAAACTGAAGACATTTATGTTGTAAAGAAAAAACAAAAGTCTCTAATGTGTGAAGTTTTCTAGATCCCTTTCTGTAATAATTCAAATATTCACACGTTCTACGTGATATGTGGAGAGAACCTCTAGCTGAAGCTCCTCAAACGCAGACAGCTCGGCTCCTTCCAGCTGACTGGGTTCTTCGTATGCAACATGATCTCTAAACCCCACAGCAGATTTTCAAATGTAATGTCTTCGTGAGACACAAGAATCTCTAAAACTTTTGTTTCTTCAGGACTTCCTTTTGACTCGACAGTGACTTCAAGATTAATGCTCGTGGCTGCTATGTGCGTTTTGTTGATAAGTTTATTATGGCAGAAATATTTTTGATTTAATGGTGACCTAGGGATAGTCTAGTTTTTTAAGCAGCACAACACTAACTTGAAGTCTTCATCATAGTGTCATGCTCAATAATCCAGGTAGAAAATTATAACAAAGTTAAGTCGGGTCCTCTGGATGGATTCTTCTTGTTGAAACGTTTCATCTTTTATCCAAAAGACTTCTTCAGTCTGAGGAGCTGCAACAAACTCAGTCTTATAAATAGCACCTTCACATAGTGGGTCAACCAGTTTGATGGCGATAGATTGGTTTCTGGAGTCTGCCCTCTCCCCCGTCGACTCGTTTGAGGAAGTCATGGCCAGAGTGGCCAAACAAAACCGTCCAAAGGACCTGACTTAACTCTGGTGGATCTTCATAATAATGTTCCTGTCTCCCGTGAACTGCTCCTTTTCGCTTTATTTTTTGCTCACATTGTGCCTCTTAATGATTTTTTTTCAGCTTTGAAAACACTTCAACAATTTAATTAGGATTGTCTTGTTATGCTGCTATAGGCTTAGACTACTGGAGGACAAAGTGACCTCATTTCCTTTAATGAATTGCTTCCTCTCAAACCCAGCTGGTCGAAGCAGAAGGCCGCTTGTCCCGAGTCTGGTTCTGCTAAAGGTTTCTTCCTCATGAGGGAGTTTTTCCTTTCCACTGTCGCCTTCATGCTTGCTCAAGATGAGAGTTCTGTGATAAAGTTAAACTCAAAGCAGTCTGCTTCTCAGATAAATAATGTTAAATTATTATTTTTAGATAAATGAATGCTTCTGTTCAGTGCCCTGAGACGACTTCTGTTGTGACTTGGCGCTATAGAAATAAACTGAATTGAAACGAATCAACAGATAAAATCTCAAAGCACACGGTAGTCTTTTAATGTATCGTTTATCCATTTTGAAGTTCTGCGTAAAGGCTACGAAGAATAATCTCTTACCACCTGAAGACAGCTTTTTGAACATCCTTACTTGAAGAAACAGTCAGGCAGAAGTGACGGTGATGGACGAGTTCAGTAAATAGTGTTTGCATAATTCACCATGCTATTTTGGAGACTTTAGTTGTTCTAAAACAACTGGAGTTCATTTGGACTAGATGTTAGCTCATCAATCCTGTCACCTACTTTCCATTAGGTGAGGTTTAAAAAGCTACATCAAGATATTGACAACTTTTCAAAACCGCTGAACTATTCCCTTAAACTTCAATCTAGTACTGATAAAGTACTTCAAGGGTAAAATCATTTTAAGGCAGTGTTTTTCTACGTTGTACAAACCTGCCAGAGTGCCGGCCAGTCCTGCGTAGTATTCAATACAAAGTCTAGCAGAGTCCACGTCCAGACGGGCCTCTGTGATGGACTTCCCATTGTTCACCACTTCCATCTCAGCAAGATCCTCCCTCCTGCTCTGTGTAGAGAAAGACCACGTTTTCAAATTGTATTTTGTTTAAATGAAACTGGATGAACCAAAGTTTGAACACCTCAATTATATGTGCAGCTCTGATCATGACCCTAGCCCTCTCCATCCCTGACATTTTGCTCCAGGGGACAAAGGCCAATTTAGCAGCTTTCACAGCCTCATCAACCTCCGCAGCACCGCATGGCTCCAAAAGGCACAAAACACGGCCTGAAAAACAAGAAATATATATATATTAAATAAATAAAAAACAGCCCAATCATCATGTAAATGAGTTTAACAGGAAATGTCATGTTTTTATTACAACTTTAATCCTGACAAAGCTTAGGTGTTGTGTAAAACATTATGTATAAATAAAAACTGAATACAATGACTTGCAGATCTCACAAACCATCATTTTATTCAGAATAGAACACAATAAGTAAATACATAATCTTTGTAGAAAAAAAATTAAACAAATTGGATAATTTTGAATGTAACAGTAACACATCTGTTTAAAGTTGTTTCAGGTTTGCTCTGGACAGATGGTCCCTGTTTTGCATGTGTAAAGCTAGTTTATTTGGATTCCACAGAGTGCTGGCTTGAAACACGTACAGGAGGGGCTATTTATAAGACAGATCTGGGTTGGCAGGCCTCAGACTGATGAAGTCTTTCAGATGAAAGATGAAACGTTTCTCCCAAAAAAGAAACTTGTCCAGATGACATAATTTAACCATTTTTTGTGTTTCAGGTTTGTGTTTCCAATAGAGGCTGACATATATTTTTTGGAATCCCATGGGTCACATGATTCCTGTGGGATTCCCGCAGTATGGGAGTCAACTTTAATATTACCGTATTGTCTGGCGTATAAGTCACACCTTTTCGCATAATTTGCATACCCTGTGACTTATATTCCAAAGCGACTTATTTATATATTTCTTCCCAAATTTATAACCCAATTTTGACTGAGATATGACCGTTTTAATTCATTCTGACATGAAAATATTGAACACTACCATTTTCAGCTGCAAGATGGCATTTGAGTAATATGGCATGCCTTTGTGTCATGTAATAGGTAAAAGTGGCTATTAATGACACAATTGGCTTGCCATAATCTGCCAATTTTGTCCAGCTCCGAGATCACGCATGGAGAAACCGTCAAATCAGCTTCAATTTGTTGCGCCACCCCGACAAAATGCAGCTAATTTGACCATTAAAGTGCATTTATTAAGAAAGTTCAACTGAGACAATCCTTTACTATAAAGTAGGGATGGGGCGATCCGATCCGATCCAGTATCAGTATCGGCCTCCGATACCAGCATAATTTATGTATCAGATTTTTCCGATCCACCTGCCGATATTTCCGATCCATGATGCACGTTGGCTTCAAACTATGGAATGGATTTCCTGAACGGCGGCATGTCTCATTAACCCAGAGTAATAAGACCCGCCTCACATTCAGGAAATCCAGTTCATAGTTTGCAGCCAGCTACAATGTCAGGACTGAGTTAGCAGCACTGTGGCTAACAGCTAACAAACTTTTCATCTAAACATGTCCGCTGTGTGGAAGTATTTTACACTAAGCACCACAAAACAAGACAGCAACGTGCAATGTCTGCAGAGTCATAGTGCCACATTAAACTGCGGTAAAGTTAGTTTTACGAAGGACATTCGAGCTCAATGGCTTCAAAGGGGCGCTGCTCTTTGCTCAACCCACAACAGGCGACTCGACCCCGGCCAGCTGCGTCCAATCTGCCCCACTCAGTCTGCCCGTCTCCGAGGAGGGACAGACTGAGTGCGGCTGCCCCAAATCAGGCTGCCTGCTTCGGATTGAACAAGAAGAAGACGTCGCTGAAACCACAGAGCTCAAATGTTTACAGAGAAGTTGCTAAACTTCATCATAATTAATGACCAACCACTATCAGTTGTAGAAAATGAAGGATTTCACAGTTTGATACTTGCAGCCAAGATATAGTTTACCCTCCAGGAGATATTTATTAGTACAACAGTAAACAATCATAAAAAAAAAACCTATGATTTGAAAATTATATTAAAAACAAAAACAGCTACATTATAAAGTGATGTACAATAATAAAAACAGGAACATGTCTGTTGGTTTATGCCATGAACTTAGCAGATGTTTGAAGCCATTTAACATTTTATTTAATTTAATTCATTTATTCATTCATTTAAAAGAAACAAAATAAAAAAAAAATCATTAAAAAGAAAACATTGAATGAAAAGAGTGCAGGAAGAAGAAAAATAATTCTTATATCTGCCCCTTATTTAAAAAAATATAAAATAACTTTAAACAATCACTTAAAATTAATCACTTTAATATCCACTTTAAAGCTAGGAATAAAAAGAAACATGTTTTGTGTTAGCAGAATTTAATTCTAACTTTAAAACTTATCCAACATTAATAAAACTTACCTCAAGTTGCCTTTTTGGACATGCATGCATATATTTGTACAAATTGTACTTGAGAGCAGATTATTACAGCCTCATATAAAATCAGTGATGATCATGATATCGGAACTGGATCGGTATCGGCCGATACTCAGATCTAGGTATCGGAATCGGATCGGAAGTAAAAAAGGTGGATCGGTGCATCCCTACTATAAAGTCAAGTAAACAAATAATTGTTTTTAGGTGGTTATCTTGTTAAAGTTTGAAGAAATGCACAGTGACTCGTCCCTCTGTGCACTACCGCTTCCGCAAATCGGCTTTTGAAATGTAGCTGATTTGACCGTCAAATTGCATTTATTATGGAAAAGTTAGACTGAGACACACCTTTAATAGAATTTTGAGCAAATAAAGGATTGTTTTTAGGTGTCAGTCTTGTTAAATTCTTGTTAAAGTCCTCCTGTGCACGCGTAATGCTGCTCAGAAAACGTGTTTAGTTGTAGTCAAGTACACGGGTGAGTCCAACACCGTCTCACTCCCAACTCGGTGTTGTGTTGGTGAGTCAGTGTCGAGTGGTCTCAAGAGCCACTTCTTCCAAAACTCAGGTCCAGTATGTGAAAGTAATGGCCTTTATGCATTTTTGTTCGTTGAGGACAGTTCTCTTGCTTGGTGCATTTTTTTTGTTTGTTTAAGCAATTTAAAATATAAAAATAACATAATTATTTAAAGGAAATAATAGCTCAATAAATGAGTAAAATGCAACTTTATATGTTATGTTTGGGTTCATTCAACTAAGGTAGACATGGTGTGACCCAAGTACTGTTTTCTTGTTTTTTTTATGTATTTATTTTTATTTTTTATTTTTACTGTAACTGACCTCAAAAGAGCTACAAACTCAGCAGCTGACCCACCATAGAAAAACTATACGTACTACAGGCCATGTATTATTTATGTTTTGTGCCCTTTAGTGAAGGTTTTTGTTTGGATTAAGGCAATAAATGTCTCCTTATTTCACCACAGATGAACTGTTCCTGTTGCCAGATCTTTTGAAATAAAACTGCAGAACACAAAGTAATATACAAAAGAATGGGCAGAAGATTAAATCAAAGTTAATGTACTTCTTGAAGACTAAATGAAGAAGAAAAAAAAAACCAATGGGAGCAGTCCAGGAGCGGGAGTCATTCTGAATGAGAGTGGGATGAGAAAGGAAATATTTTTTTGTTTTACTCTGGCCCATTGGGATGGGACACTTTTTTTTTCTGTGGAAGTGGGACGGGACAGGAGGGAAAAATCCACTCCTGTGTCACCCTCAACTGGTCAAGTCCCCCTCCTGGTCTGGTGCACTTCCATTTTAAGGAGTGAGTTTGCAGTATTTCCTACCTGCAGTTGTTTGGTGTTTTTTGGTTTTATGTTTCTTCTTCTATTTTCTGTGACTGCAGATTTTTCCTTTGCAGCGTTTTTCCGTTGCTTTTCTCCCTTTTTTGTTTGTTTGGTTTTGAGTTTGCATCATTCATGTGTTTGCAGCGCCTGGGCCACTGTACCAGTGTTGCCAGATTGGGCGGTTTACTGCCAATTGGGCGGTTTTCGTTCTGATTTTGCAGGTAAAAATTGCTTTGGGCAGGTGAGGATAATTTGGGCGGATTTGGAGTCAGATCGACAGTTTTTGAGTTAACTTATTTAACACATTTCAAACAATCGTTCATCATTATTGGTTCAAAGTTCCCTTGACCTTTCTCCATCACTGATTGGCATCACATTGTCATCTCTGCCACGGCGTTCACAACAGAGAACTGGTGAGGCAGTTTTAGTGGACGTCTCGTTAAGTGGGGGGACCCGTTGCGGCGGTACGTCGGAGCAGCCGCCATATTGGATGTGGCAGAACTGCCGGTCAACTAATAAAGGAAATGTACTGAACTTTATAAAGCACCGTTCTACAAAGTGTCTTATGATAATGCCTGTCATTCACACACACTAATATACATGGAAAACAAACAGGCACCAAAGACAACATTTGTAACTTTTAAAGTGATTATTAAAAATGTTCACTCCTAAAATATTTAGGTTAAAGGTAAGCACTAAGCCAACATGTGTATTCTCTTGAGTGTTTACAACTACTAATGTGTGTAACACTATTACTGTGGTGATAAATATAGAAATATTCATATTGAACATTTAATCTGCGTCTATAATAACCAGACCCTGTTGATTCTCTGAAAATCTACAAAAGCTAAGCCAGGTCCTCTGGATGTTAAAAATAAAAATAAATATATATATATATATATATATATATATATATATATATATATATATA